ATTCCGAAAAAAAATATTTGGACTCCTCTTTAGGGTCAACATATACTGATGACATGTCATCAGCATTTCAGAGAGAAGAGTATTACTCTCACATATGGTATAGTCCCCCCCTCCTCCGTCTCCCACTTTTCCTGCTGTAACCTCAAGCCGTTTTCTAATTTTACTCCGTACAAAATATACAACTATTTTGTACGGATTAAAATCACCACAACGCTGTAAATGCTTCACCCACGTACTACAAATACAAATAATCGCCAACAGAACCTAAACACCTAACCTAACCTATGCCTATATATGCACAATATGCTTATACATTATAATATTAATTTATATTTAAGAAAATTCTCGTTTTAAAAGAACAGCATGTAAAAATTTATGAATGCGTCTGTGGGGTCGACCGCTGGATGGAATGGACTTGAGTCGAGGACAGGTTGTGTTAATACTTCACACATGTACTTCACATAAATTAATCGTCAACAGAACATAAACATCTAACCTAACCTAACCTAACCTAACCTAACCTAACCTAACCTACGTCTAAATATACATAAAATTTGTGTATAATAATAATATTAACTTACAAACGAGAACACACCAATTTGTAATACACAATAAGTTAAAATTTATGAATGCGTCGTGAAGGGGGGGGGGGGTGAAGAGGGGTTGCTTGCTTTGTTTCCTGTTTCGTTCACGTTCTCGGCTCGAATCGCAACTCTCTCAATGCAACCTGTCCTCACACTAGGCTGGTTAAAGCAGCGGCCATCCTCCCCAGATGCATTCATCAATTCTAACATACTGTGTATTAAAAATTGGTTTGTTCTCATATATAAATTTAAATTATATATAAAAATTATATGTATAGTTAGGTGCACGTTCTGTTGGCGATAATTTGTATTTGTAGTACGTGGGTGAAACATTTATATAATTGTGGTTCGAACAGAGGACGTGAGCGAAGCACTTTTTTCCGGAAGTGTTCGGACGTCATCAGTTGTGAGTCTGATTGATTGATTGATGAAGATTAAGCCACCCAAGAGGTGGCACGGGCATGAATAGCCCGTAAGTGGTGGCCCTTTCGAGCCATTACCAGTATCAAAAGATGATACTGGAGATCTGTGGAGGCGCAACTGCACCCTGCGTGACGGGAGATGTCTCCCGGACCAAGTGGTGACCAAATGGAGTGTTGTGAGTCGTGTGTAAACCGCTTTTCATTCATAAACAGGAAGTTTGCCGGCGGGATAAACGAGCATTTGGCTTTTCGACGATAAGGACGAGTTCCCACATAGTATTATTAACAAAAATAACTGTTGAGTGGCATCAGAGACTTATTTTCTCTCTTCATTCCTCAAGTTCAATGGGAAATCCTCTAAAAAAAAAAATAAAAGGCAGTTCACGTAAGCTATCTGCTGCCTCCTTACCTTGAGGTGCTTCCGGGGCTTAGTGTCCCCGCGGCCCGGTCGTCGACCAGGCCTCTGGGTTGTTGACAACACAAGGTCTGAGTATTGAATACACACAGTGTGTTCAGGACACTAATGAACTGTGTACACCAGGGCCCTTTATGGCCGCTCAAGAACTATATCAAACGGTACTGAAGGACGCTTGAGAACTGTGTAAACCAACCTGTTACAGCACGCTTGAGACCTGTGTAAACCAAAACTGTTACAGGACGCCTGAGACCTGTGTAAACCGTACTGAAGGACGCTTGAGAACTGTGTAAACCAAACCGTTACAGCACGCTTGAGACCTGTGTAAACCAAAACTGTTACAGGACGCCTGAGACCTATGTAAACCGTACTGAAGGACGCTTGAGACCTGTGTAAACCAAACCGTTACTGCACGCTTGAGACCTGTGTAAACCAAAACTGTTACAGGACGCCTGAGACCTGTGTAAACCGTACTGAAGGACGCTTGAGACCTGTGTAAACCAAACTGTTACAGGACGCTTGAGACCTGTGTAAACCAAACTGTTACAGGACGCTTGAGACCTGTGTAAACCAAACCGTTACAGGACGCTTGAGACCTGTGTAAACCAAACCGTTACAGGACGCTTGAGACCTGTGTAAACCAAACCGTTACAGGACGCTTGAGACCTGTGTAAACCAAAACCGCTTGAGAACAGTGTAAACAAAATCCGAACAAGAGCCCCAGGAGTGCGAAACACAATTCAGTTGTGTGGAACAGGAGGGTAAAGCTCCTGGGAATAGCCAAGCCGTGTAAATGACGCGCCCTGTTCCCAGAGGGACTCACCAGCCGGGGTTGGTTGCTACATCCTCGCCAAAACATTTCACCCCGAGAGTAAGGCAGGTGACAAAGGATAGGTAAGGAAAGGGGAGGGATCGGTATGGGAGAGGAGAGAATGGGAGAGGAGGGACTGGGAGGAGAGGGAAGAGGAGGGATATATATATGGATAGAGAAAGGAATAGAAGGAACACACACAGGACACGGGAGATATCTCCTGTCACGCAGGGTGCAGTCGCACCTCCACAGATCTCCAGTATCAGCTGTTGATACTGGTTATGGCTCAAAAGGGCCACCACTTACGGGCTATTCATGCCCGTGCCACCTTTTAGGTGGCTTAATCGTAATCAATCAATAGAAGGAAATCGCTTGGGCACAATATATCGAGCGAGTGAAGGTTGGATGCTACCCATGTTTAAGGAAGGAGTCAGCGTGGGGTAGGTGCCTATTCCACCTACCCCACCCTACCCTAACGAGCGAGAGAGGGGCAGAAGAATGGGAAGGGGGTGTGAGGAAGGGGGATAGCACACTTCCTCCACACTTAACGTTACAATAATCCTCATTAAGTTCAATAATCAGTAGGAAATTGGCTGTTACACATACCTAGTAATTGTCATGTGCTTACAGGAGCAACATGGGCGAAGATCGATGCAATATTCACTATATAAAAAGTGAATCCTACCTAGAGGTTACCTAGAGGTGCTTTCGGGGCTTAGCGTCCCCGCGGCCCGGTCGTCGACCAGGCCTCCTGGTTGCTGGACTGATCAACCAGGCTGTTGAACACGGCTGCTCGCAACCTGACGTATGAGTCACAGCCTGGTTGATCAGGTATTCACAACCTGGTTGATCAGGTATCCTAATGTACATTTGCAATAGTTTCACCAGTAAATACACTAGTCAGCAATTTTTCACAAGTTGTCTGCTTCTGAGATGCAAAGAGGTGTTTATCGTGCATTCTGACGTGCTGATTTTAAATATAATAATTAAAATAGATGACTAGCTGACCAGACCACACACTAGAAATTGAAGGGACGACGACGTTTCGGTCCGTCCTGGACCATTCTCAAGTCGATTGAGAATCGACTTGAGAATGGTCCAGGACGGACCGAAACGTCGTCGTCCCTTCAATTTCTAGTGTGTGGTCTGGTCAACATACTTCAGCCACGTTATTGTGACTCATCGCCTGCAGATGACTAGCTGTTGTTTTTAAGTGTAAAGAGGGTCGCAAAATCTTGCTGGATCCAACAAGTGGTGGATGCTGCATTCTTCTCACCCAGGCACCAATGATGGACGTGCCCAGAGATCAAGCTAATGACCATCCCCAGGATGCAACCCTCCTACATCTGCTTAACTTCCCCGGCACCTATTTACTGCTAGGTGAACAGAGGCATTAGATGAAAGAAAACGTGCTCAACCCATTTCTCTCCCGGGATTCCCGACTGTGACTCGAGAACGAAGCCAACTGTACTACGGGACATGGAACGATCAAGTCTCCGCACAAACTCCATTTAAAGCATATTCCCGGAAGTGGGTCAAGAGTGCTAGGAGCTTGCTCCACCTTTGCCGCGGATCGGCCCGGTATTGCAGTACCGCTGGGATCGGTCCACTCCCTTCGGGGAGACCTATAAGAAGAAGAAAAAAAGGACAATGAACCCCGCGTAGCGGCCCTCACCAGATCTCAAAGCGCACTGAGCGCCTCCACCATCCAATCGGCTTTATCAGCGATGCACTCTGCCATGTCGCTAAGCGCCCCGTGATTGGTTGAGCTCCCGGCTTTCAGCCAATCAGATTCCACAATAGGTTACCGTCCACTCATGGGTCAGGTCAGGTATGGGTCGTAACAGTCGAGTAAAATAGCCAAAATAATACATTATTAGAAATAGTAACTTCCATGCCATTAAACCTGTCCTCTCACCGTCGCATTTCTCACGGAGTCGACCTTATCTTCAGGTTATCTTGAGATGATTTCGGGGCTTTAGTGTCCCCGCGGCCCGGTCCTCGACCAGGCCTCCACCCCCAGGAAGCAGCCCGTGACAGCTGACTAACACCCAGGTACCTATTTACTGCTAGGTAACAGGAGCATAGAGTGAAAGAAACTCTACCCATTGTTTCTCGCCGGCGCCTGGGATCGAACCCAGGACCACAGGATCACAAGTCCAGTGTGCTGTCCGCTCGGCCGACCGGCTCCCCTAACGACCTGACCGTTAAAAATGCAGTGCATAAGTGAAAATTAAAGCAGCGCGATAGTGACGTTTACTAAACATTGGCCTCAATGGGTTAGGTGGGTGGCTTGAGTTTGTGCCTTTCTAATTAGGCAAAACATTTGTATTTTTTCGAGACTCGAGAGAACGAGGTTGTCCGACACCTCATCACGCTAATTAGCTCACCTTGCTTGTTAAGCGTTGGATTGTATGATCATGATCATGCAGAGGGCGGAGTAGGCCATGGCGAACATGACCTATGATCATGCAGAGCGCGGAGTAGGCCATGGCGAACATGACCTATGATCATGCAGAGGGCGGAGTAGGCCATGGCGAACATGACCTATGATCATGCAGAGGGCGGAGTAGGCCATGGCGAACATGACCTATGATCATGCACAGGGCGGAGTAGGCCATGGCGAACATGACCTATGATCATGCAGAGGGCGGAGTAGGCCATGGCGAACATGACTCCAGAATAAGGATGAATATGACGCAATATCACCATGAAAATGACGCATCATCACCACAGGTACAAAACGTGTCCATAAAAATGCATCACCTTCCCCCACAGTCTGTTTTGTTGGGGTGAGGGGGAAGGAAAGGGGTAAATACGGACAGGTTCATGTGATGGAACTTGCCCCGCTCCTGTGCCAGGTAAGTTACGGGCTCACCATAGCCCGTGCTACTTGGAACTTGTTCCGAGTAGCTGAATTTATAACAACAATGTGTGTGTGTGTGTGTGTGTGTGTGTGTGTGTGTGTGTGTGTGTGATGTGTGTGTGTGTGTGTGTGTGTGTGTGTGTGTGTGTGTGTGTGTGTGTGTGTGTGTGTGCTGTGTGTGTGTGTGTGTGTGTGTGTGTGTGTGTGTGTGTGTGTGTGTGTGTGTGTGTGTGTGTGTGTGTGTGTGTGTGTGTGTGTGTGTGTGTGTGTGTGTGTGTGTGTGTGTGTGTACTCACCTAGTTGTACTCACCTAGTTGTGTTTGCGGGGGTTGAGCTCTGGCTCTTTGGTCCCGCCTCTCAACCGTCAATCAACAAAAAATTGAGTGGGAATCTAATTCCCTCCTTCCTTTTCTTGATGTTCATGTTCACAGCTCTGTGTCTGGGTTCTCTTTCCCAGAGAACCCAGAGTGTCTGGGTTCTGTGTGTGTGTGTGTGTGTGTGTGTGTGTGTGTGTGTGTGTGTGTGTGTGTGTGTGTGTGTGTGTGTGTGTGTGTGTGTGTGTGTGTGTGTGTGTGTGTGTGTGTGTGTGTGTGTGTGTTGACAGCTAAGCTAAGCTTGCTCTCTCTTGTTATGGAGCTGCTAGTGTGTAAGGTATTTCCTCACGTATTTCAGCATATATGGGTGTCTATAGATGTGTGTATACACATGTGTGTACATGTGAATGCTGTGTAGTATTCACATGTACACACTCAGATGCTTGTGTACACGTTTTGATGCTCTGCTCGGGGCTAATTTGATTATTTTTAATTATTTTTTTTATTATTAGGGAGGGGGAGCCAGGTCAGCATTTCATCTAGGAATTATATATAGCGGGGCTTACTTTCCATTGAGTAGATCCAAGCTCTTGGGCCCCAAGCTGCGGGGGCGGGGCATCTCATCTTGTAGTCACTCTAGCATTGGGTCTTCTAAATTTTAGATAGCGTTCCACACCCTGGTGGCTTGGTGCTGTAGTCTGAGGTTTCTGACCATTGAACGTGACTCGAGTCCCTCTTTCCCCTCCCACGAGCAACATGCAATATTCAATCAACACACACTTAGTGGCTCTTTGCCAGAGGTTTGCACGAGCGTAATCTAAGTGCTAAAATGAAAAAAAGTCGAATAAATCAATTTTGTAAACACGACCACGGTCCATTTGACAGCAGTAAATAGAACCGGGAACCGCATCGATCATTTTATGATGAATTAGATATGCAAGAAAAGCGAAGAAGGTCAGTCCCGTTGGAGAGTATAGAAAGTATTGCAAGGTTGACTTTTTTCTGGCAGGGATATTCCTGTTGACCAGACCACACACTAGAAGTTGAAGGGACGCCGACGTTTCGGTCCGTCCTGGACCACAATCGACTTGAGAATGGTCCAGGACGGACCGAAACGTCGTCGTCCCTTCAACTTCTAGTGTGTGGTCTGGTCAACATACTTCAGCCACGTTATTGTGACTCATCGCCTTCTTGGAAATAATTGTTGTGTACCTGAGAGTTATTCCTGAGAGTTGTACCTGAGAGTTGTGTACCTGAGAGTTATTCGTCATTTGCAATATTGATATCAACGCCTGTTGTAAATGCTGCAGTAGCTATTATATTTTATGATCAGCAAAATTGACGGTCGACTGCTGGTATTCACTTCAAGCTGCAGTATATCTTGCGAGTACTATGCGTCCGCATGATTGACAGTAATTGCTTGCAACGTTTGGTGCCAACATCAAGTCAACCTTCTTTCTGGAGCAAGGCCCAACAGACTGCTGGAACACGGTGTGTAGTTACAAACTAAACAAGATCCCCACTGAGATTAAGCAGGTACAGAAGTTGTTGAACACTATGAACATAATCTTACTTAAGCCAATATACGACTCACAAACACTCATCCACCGACTAAGTAATATTAAAAATGGGTAACATTTAGTGTACCAGCCAGAGGAATATACCCAGGAATATCCCTGTGCAGGCGATGAGTCACAATAATGTGGCTGAAGTATGTTGACCAGACCACACACTAGAAGTTGAAGGGACGACGACGTTTCGGTCCGTCCTGGACCATTCTCAAGTCGATTGTGGTCCAGGACGGACCGAAACGTCGTCGTCCCTTCAACTTCTAGTGTGTGGTCTGGTCAACATTTCCAAGAATCTGGACTTCTTCAGTCATCGGCGCTACAAAAAGATAGGAAAAAAAAAGTAAAGAAACCAAATCACAACCAAATTCATTACTTATTTTCAAAACTTATTTAACAAATCTTTCAAGTTTGAGGGAAACAAATATGGCAAGACATGGAGAGGAAAATACAAAGAGGAAGAACTGAACAATGGCATACAACTAATTAAATACAAATATTAAGAGTATTTTAAAGAAATTGTAACACCGAACAAAAAACTGGATGAATTATCAAGATGTTCTGTAAGCACTCTTATATAAGAGTCAAGATGTTCTATAAGCACTCTTATATGAGTCAAGATGTTCTATAAGCACTCTTATATGAGTCAAGATGTTCTATAAGCTCTCTTATATAAGAGTCAAGATGTTCTATAAGCACTCTTATATGAGTCAAGATGTTCTATAAGCACTCTTATATGAGTCAAGATGTTCTATAAGCACTCTTATATAAGAGTCAAGATGTTCTATAAGCACTCACATCAATTATTGTGTGTGTAAGACCACTTTTTATAATCGCGAGGTCTGGGTGAATATGTACAACGCAATACAGCCACGTCGATTACATTTTTTTTTAGTTATGCCTTCGAAAAATCAGAGAGCATTCTCAGAACTATATATATATATATATATATATATATATATATATATATATATATATATATATATATATATATATATATATATATATATATATATATATATAATGTGTGTTTGTGTTGATCATGTTCTTGTGAACTGCGGCGTTTTAAGTTCATAGTTTTTTTTAAACCTCTGAGTATTTTGCATTGGTGTGAACTCGTGTCTTTGATCTGATCAAGAAATCTGTTGCTTGTTCAGCTAAATTTTTCTTAGCCTCAGTAAATTTTATGAAAAGGTCAAGTGCAACACAAGGGGACAACACCTTCAAGCTCACAATGTCGCTCAGAGAACAGGACAAGCTTTTTCACCCAAAGGAATGTAGACCCATGGAACCGCCTACCCGTCGAAGCTGTAAATGCAAAGTTATTACTTCAGTATAAAATCCAGGTAGGAAACATCTTCCAGAACAAGGAGGATATGTTTATATATATATATATATATATATATATATATATATATATATATATATGTCGTACCTAATAGCCAGAACGCACTTCTCAGCCTACTATTCAAGGCCCGATTTGCCTAATAAGCCAAGTTTTCATGAATTAATGTTTTTTCGTCTACCTAACCTACCTAACCTAACCTAACCTTGCTTTTTTTGGCTACCTAACCTAACCTTACCTATAAATATAGGTTAGGTTAGGTTAGGTAGGGTTGGTTAGGTTCGGTCATATATCTACGTTAATTTTAACTCCAATAAAAAAAAATTGACCTCATACATAGAGAAAAGGGTTGCTTTATCATTTCATAAGAAAAAAATTATAGTAAATATATTAATTCAGGAAAACTTGGCTTATTAGGCAAATCGGGCCATGAATAGTAGGCTGAGAAGTGAGTTCTGGCTACTAGGTACGACATATATATATATATATATATATATATATATATATGTCGTTTATATATAT